AGAGATGAAGTTGACTATTGATATGATGGAGATCTTCATGTTGATCGACGAGTTATATTTTTGAAGTTCTCAAAGAGATATATTCTTGGTATTTTCTATCTTCGTTCCATTATGCACCATTAAAATTCCCTTTTGTCTTTCTATGCCTGTGCTCGACGTCAATTTATAAGTCAAAACTCGAAAGGCAAAACTCCAGATTTGAAACTTCATAAATCTCTGTTCGCCTTACCAGGGGGGGAAATTTCGCATCTCCGTTATATAGAGAAATTCTGTGTGTATAAACAAAGGGGAGAAAAAAAATTTTTTCGAGGTAATACACGAAAAATCTCTCTCTCTCTCTCGATCTATCTCAAGCCTGAACATATTATCAGCATTGACAAAACTTACAAAAAAAAACAACAAAATTAATATTACGCGAAGAAAAGAAAAAAAAATATAATAATAATAANAATTTTCGCAGCTTTAACGGATCACCCTAGTTAATCTGCAGATTAGCTAGGTAATGTACACATTAACGGATTTCGAGCTTTAGCGGTAACATATATATTTATACCGACATACCCAGAAATTTCTTTGTGATGTCTCACTTACTACAGTACAATCACACAGATGTACTGTACTGTACAGTACAGTGTTACTCGCATTTTTAACACATTAAAGTAAATGATCAGAAAATTATTGAACATTTATTAGATAATTTATATTTCAAAATTCGAAAAATAGTATAAATTAAAATAAATTATACGTGAACATATAATTCACACTGGATAATTAAAATTATAAGGTAAAAAGATATTTGAGTTTCTTGGTGAGCCCTGACTTTCGTCCTCTCCTGGTTGCATCAGTGTATAATTTCTCTAAAGGAAAAAGTTAACATATTATATATTAGATTCTTAATATATAAAGAATTATTTATTTAAGCTTTTTACAAAATATCTCGCTCAATATTGTCTTTGGTCTCGAACGTTTATTGCGTAATTTCTTTTATCGCTTCAGAACACCAATCTGTCCAATAACATGAGAATAACGAGCCATATAATATTAAATGTCTTTAATTGACTAACGACGATTAAACAAGATAAAACTTTTAATGAATATTTAAATTAAAAGTAAACATAAAGGAATGTACCAATATGAAAAAGTAAAATTAAAACTAAATTAATTCAATCTATAAATCAAACTCTACGGAAATATCGGACTACGGTTATAGATCATTTATGAAACTAAGAGCTTATCTAGATGATTGATTGATATGATTGATCCTGGATAGGGCTTTCTGATAAAGATGACAAATTGTTAATTTTCCTCCATTCCAATGCTGCATTTTATTGCCGAAACAAATGCTGCTTGTTAAAATTTTTGAATTTATAAATATGTGAAATTTTTTAAATCAATTCAGTCGTAATAAATTTGATTTTTATCTATAGTTATAATTGCATCTAGTTACGTTTTATAGATTTGGGATCTTAAATATAAAATTTGGGAATAGAATTTAAATTTTGTAGGAATTAAATATGCTACACATAAGATTTTTCATTTTAGAACTTTTAAAATTTATTTCATAATCATTGGATAATTAAATATTAATGCCTAAACTGTTTGTAAAGAATGCAATATTTCAAATTATTTTGATGATAGCTATATTGAGTCGTTGGAATTTTGTTCTTAAATATTTAGTAGATACTGATTATGCAAATGTGAGAGAAAAATTTACACAACTTAAATTTATTAATGTGCTTGATTTACGTTTTAAAATGGAAGAACTATATTATAATAAGAAATTTATCGAAGGAAGTACAGGAGTTGAAAAATATTTAAGATATTGTCTTTTAATTTCTGAAGAAAATATCAATAGAATTAATCTTTTTGGAATAATTTATGATCATAATGAATTAGAGAAATATGATCTTGTTTACTAAATGTGAATTATTTCCTTTCGTTTTTATTGAAAGCATTAAAACTCAATATCGACACTAAGAAAGCAATACTTGGTTAGTCGAACAATTATCTGTTATATATTCGTATTATATAATCTTTTTTAGTAAAAATGATGTGCAGCATTGTTTTGAATTATGATACGAATGTGTGATTATTATACAGGGTTCGTAGGAAAGTCCGCATATCCCCTATAACTTTTAAACTACCCTGTCGTGTGCAACGGAAGTAATTGGCTTCTATAGGAAAGTGACCATGCACAAGCCATTGAACGTGATTTTAGTGGCCCAATGGCGAAATGACAAAATATGGAGCTAAAAGAAAACTAACTCGAAAACCAACAGAGTAGGCAAGAAGTTCATTTAAAAAATGAAAGTGTGTTGTTTAATTAGTACAAAACGATGTTTGGTTCAGCTTGCAGGAAAGACTGACATTTTTGCAAAATGTAACAAAGACGTAACGCAAAGTTCGTGCACTATAGGTGCAACTAATCTACCAAGTAATCTACTGTACAATGAGTTCAAAGTGTGCACTATCAGCGACGATACATTTCTGGATTCGGGACAGAATCTCATCTCGAACAAAATGCAGCATTGCATGAGTTACAGAATTTACAGGCGTTGATGATGCGTTCCATTAAATCTGTCACAGTGGAAGGTTCTGTAGCATACATTTGATCTTTCAGGTATCCCCAAAATCCAAATTAGAATAATGCTTTGGTATCTCGTGTAACTGCTTTCCTGTTGCAGCCGGAAATCTCTTTTCCGCCGACGCTTTCTTTTCTGCTCTTCCCTGTAAGCGGAAACCAAGTATAGTTTTATACTAATTAAACAACGCTCTCATTTTGTAATTGGATTTTTTCTCTATTTCTGTTGGTTTCCGAGTTAGTTTTCTTTAGTTCCGTATTTCATTACTAGGGGCACTAAAATCACTTTCAATGGACTGTGCATGGCCATTTTCCTATAGATGCCAATTACTTCCATAACGCTACCACAGGTAGTTAATAAGGTAAGTTCCTAAGAACCCTGTAAACTGCATTGTCTTATTGCATCAATGATGATATAATAAATTTTGTTGTAATCTTTGTTGTAAGGTGGAACTGATAAAAAGCCTTGTTATGCTCCATCCTACATTGTAAGACTGCTTACATTTTGAATTTATAAATGTCATTAGCTTAAATAAGTAAAACCCATAGCAAATTCTAATGTTTAGTAGGTACGTGTATGCGATTATTATTATAGTCTATTAATTTTGGTCATTTTTTTTTACTTTAAACTTTCGTAGAATAAACAAATAACAACCATATAAAAGAAAATATTAGAACGAAAGGTAACGAAAGTTAAGCCAGTGCCCTAATGTACGGGCGCCTCGCCTGTACATTAGGGCACTTGGAATACGTGTCCTTTTCCGTCTGGGTTGCTCTTTTTCTAAAGAGTCCCGAATTTATTAACAAACATAAAATTCATGACTCTTCCTATTCTGCACATATAAAATAAACTTATGAACGACATTTGTCCATTGTCTCATGCAGCTTCGTCGTATGTTGACCAAAACATGACCTTGAAAACAAGGAACCCTTCTTCCTTTTCAAGTCCAAATTAGCCCCAATTGCAATTGCAGACACACCGTGTGGGAGTGACGTTAAGGGTCCTTTACATACAACAGTGACGTGCCGGCACAGTGATGAATATTTACACACAACAATGACGTGACCGTGATGTCGGTGAGTGGTCGTGGACTTTTCTGAGGATGAATTGGCTATGATAGCTATGTGTTTGGATGAAGAATAAAGAAATGCAATCAAGAAAGCGCCGCAAGTGGGTACATCAAGCATGGACCAAAAAACATCAACAGAAGGGGGTTTCATACTCTTTATAAAAAAATTAATAAATGACGAATCTATATTTTGAATATTTTCGAATGTCCTAATATGCATTTCATATTTTATTAAACAAAACAAAAATATTTTGTACTCAATGTCAATGTATTTCGAATGAGATAAATCAAATAGAAGAGGATGTAGATGCACGATTTCAATTAAACATTCGTCATCCATTAGAAAACAAAATTTGCCGTCAGTGAAAATATAGTTCCGGCCAAATCTACTTTCACGGTACGGTCAGGCTACTGTGACGAACGAGTCTGGACAAGGTGGGTTAAAACTAGATCAACGATTTCCCACCGGCAAAAAAATCACTGAATTGCACGGTCACTGTTGTGTGTAAATGGACCCTAAATCATAGTATGCCGCTTCTTGCATAATGTATGGTGATTTTTTTTTCTGTAGCTCGTGGCCTCTTTTCTATAGGCTGCGGGTGTTGGTGTAAGCCCACAGCTCCTTGGAGACTCGAAAACGAATCCGGACAGGTCGAAAAACTAGAAACTTTTCGGGGTGGTCCGTCCCAATTTCAACATTTAGGTCCAGTCTCTCTCTACCTGGCCTCCCAATTGCTGGAATACTCACGATGGGCTTGATTAAAAGGTCGTCTTAGTGCTCATAGGCGAAGAGTGTGAACACTAACATTTTTATTCTGAATATTCATTTTTAACTGCTGATTCGACACTTCGAGCAGTTATATAGCAACAGTAATAATTATCTCTTTTGCTAAAAACCTGTAAATTATTCATTTTCATTTCTATTATAGGGTACTTTTTATGAAATTTTTATTAGATTCATTTGAACATTCGTTTATAATAATTAAAGTATTTTTTATGAAGCTAATGGTATGATCATTTTTATTCATAATTGTTTCAATTTTTCAGTAATTTATTTTCTTGAATTATTCTTTAACGAGACACTGAAATTAATACAAATTCCTGTTATAGTTCTTATTCATATTTAATAAATAGCCATAAAAATACATTTAACTTTATAATAAAATCAAAAGAAAATAATAAATCAAATTCTATTTTTCATAATTTTGGTAAAGATGAGTTGTTGACCATTCACATTTTATAAGACTTTTTTAAATACTGTATACATCATAATAGCTTCTAAAGATATTTAATACAAACTTTGTCATTGAAAGGAGGACTTTATGACAACTATATATATATTTTTTCAGTTTTTAGGATTATTATGCTTGGGCCTTATATTATACTACTGCACTCGGGATCGTTTTGGTGTAGCGGAATATCAAGGATTTAAAGGATCATTATCTGAAACCTATTTTTTCCTGGTAACATTCAGTTGTTTACATGGTACTGCGACTCTGTTAATTTCTTACGTGATATCCTTATCAACTGCAACAGTTTTGCCGAAAACTACAACTGTAAGTGTCAGAATTTAAGTGTTAAACAATGCATTATATATTAACTAACCTATATTGAGTTATATGGTAATTTTAGTGTTTAATTATGCATACTGACATTACTAAATTATAAATGTCATAACATACGACTATATAGAATATTAGGAAATATATTTAAAATGATATTTTATAATTAGGAGCTGATTTATCATGGATTTGCTTCCGTTTTTTATTTGACAAGTAGCTTGGCTCTAATGATAACAATAATACAGAGAAATAGTAAACTGGTATTATATCGGGAAAGAGGTTATGCTGGACTTATAACTGCTTCGGTAAGTATCTGAATGTTGTAAAAATAAAAATTTTAAAGAAATTATTTATTAAAAAAAATATATTTTACGAAACGCTTAATAATAAACACAATGCGTGAACGCTAATGGAAGATGAAATTAATAATGCTTCATTTTTTTGTAAGAGGAGTTATTAATTTCATTTCCAGAAAAGCTTCGTATAGAAATATATTGATCTTTAATAGACAAAAGTGAAGCTTAAGTAATTTTAAATCTTCAAATATAACATATGAAGCGATTCTGACATTTTAATTATATATATATATAGGCCTATATAAAATTAATATAGCATGTGCAGCTTTTGTGAATATGCAACACAGTATATGTCTAGAAAATAAATATTCGTATTGCAGTTATGCACATGAGTCATTGCTAATATTGATTTTGTGCAATAACGTTGTTCAGTAACTAACATTTTAATACGTTTTTTTTCAATTTTAACGTATGTCATACACTCTCGATTTAAAGAACTTGCGTAAATAAATCAAAAGCATGCAACGTCCGGTAATCCGCACCATTGGTCCCGTATAAGCCGGATTAACGAACTTCTACTATAGTTCAGTTTAATCTCTACATCGGTTCAATATATTTTTATTTATATTTAATACTAAAAAACAAACAAAATGCGTAAGAAATTTCTCAAATTCATTAATACTATACGCGAATTAATGATGTAATTTGCTATTATTTCTTTAATTTTATAGTTGTTTCCTATTAGTTTGCACATAAACCGAAAAAAAATTTTTTTCTGTTTCTGACGTTTTGTAATATTTAGTTCTATTACATTATACTTTCTAATACAGTCGATCCCAGAAATCTAATACACTTAGATTTTACAAATACGTGTGCTGGGCTGTGAACGGCTCACGTATTTGTAAAATCTAAGTGACTCGTACAACATGGAATTCATATAAAACGGAATTATCAACAGTGTTATAGGGGGGTCGGCTGTATTTTTCATAGTTATGGAATAAAAATAAAAACCGAATATGCAAACTTTCTATAAAAAAAACCAAGCAGACTAGATATATGTTGTAAATAATTTAGTTTTAAAGCAATACTTTTTCAATGAATTTTTTTTACTGATATATTTATAGTAAAATTTCAATTTTTATTTCAGGTATTTGGTTTAATAAACACGGGCCTTTACGTGACCAGTTTTATGTATTCCTACATAATGTTTAAAGGCACATAAGTCTTAATATATTTGTTCTAATTATATATATTCGTTATTATGCAATCTTTGTTAGTGTCGTCGTCATATAATTTATATTCCTATTTTATGTTGTGTTTTTATAAAATTTCTATATTTTATTCGTTTTGTATTATAAAGTTAATAAAATTATTCCATGATAGTTTACTGGCAAAATACCTTTTTAATGCACCATAAACTCTCAATGCTGCTTCAATGCAAAAAGTGTGTACATACCGGAAAGGAGTCATCTGTATGGCACGTCACCAAATCACGTGAGAGTGATGGGGAAAAAATATCCTGGGACCGATTTTTTTAGTTTTAGAGACAAGAGTTTCGAACGAGAGAATCAGTAGGGTTGAGGAAGAGCGAAGATGCCAACAGTTGTAGTAACTCGACCACAAACGCAAGTTCCTCAAAGTGGATGCTGTTCCTGCTTACATACAGCATTCCTATCGGAACGGGTTGGAGTTTGCAAGCTTGCAGAAGTTGTAAGTACAGTACATACTTATAACAATCTATATATTGTCTTTGTTCTCTACATATTTCGGTAAAAGCGTTTAATTTTAATTATAAAGAATTGTTTCAATAATTTTTAACAATTTATATATTTTATTATCGTTGTCTAATTTCTTAACTCTAATACATTGTTGGATAAAATGCTTTGTAAAGTTATAAATGATCAATACATAAAAGTAAAGGTTTGTTCAGAACGTGCCATTAATGTACGACGATACAAGCAAGATTCAGTGCCATTTGACAAAAATAACTTTATTTCTCCGAGGTCGACAGCCAGACGTCTGTTAAGATTACGTTGCAGACCTTCAAAAAACTCAAAGGTTTTTGACCTGGCCATCCTAAAATATTAATGAAACAATACAATTTTAAACAAAACATTTAAAAAATTGTTAACTTTTGTAAAATGTCTGCTTGCTCTTAAAATTTATTATTTAATTTTAATTCCTATGACTTACATTTCTGTGTAAAATGTAAATCTTGTTTTTTATATATTTTTAAAAACTTTTATGTGTATCTATTGTAAATAAAAGGATTAATTTTACTTAAAAATTAATTACCATTTTATTAAAATATTTATTTTCATTTAGAATAGATACTCCTTTTTTACCGTTGATCCTTCCGAAATTAATTTACCGATCCTTTTTTTACACTGACACAATAAGAATAAATTCCAAATAGAACGGAATAAAACATCAAATAAGAAGAATTAGCCATTAAAATTCAAAAGTGAATTTTACTCTACTAAAATTTTTAAACATTAAATACAATAATAAAATATAATGAAAAATAAATTTTTTTTCCACCAGCATCAGGTTGGGAACCTCTGATTTAGAATGTTTTATAATAACTTTTATACAATTTTACTACGATTTATAATTCATTTTGATTTTTTTAAACGAATTATCTATTTATACTTTATAAAAATATTTCTGTATTCGGAAGTTCATACTTGGCTCACGTGCTGCATTTTTTTTAATTAATGAATAATTAAACTCCTTAGTTTAACTTGGTCTTCAAATTTCAAAATATTTGAACGACTGGTAAATCTACGTTCTTAATTCAAACATTTTTCATAGTTTTATTTTTAATTTTTCATTTTTATAAAATATTTTTTCTAACTGTGTGAAATGCTTTTCTTTTTTATCATTTTATGAAAAGATCCTTTTCCTTTTTACAATTAAATTTTAATGTAGGCTATTTTATCAAAAATATAAAATGTCTCGTTATTGCTCTTAAATCAGTTATTTTGAGGCATTCCCTGCATGTTTAGATAAATTTTCTTTACTTATTACCGTAATAGCAATAAGTAATACTTCTTATATTACTTATTGTTTCCCCCCACATTTGAACGCATTGAAAGATCTGCAAAACTATTGATAGAAAGAATTTCAATTTTTATAAAATTGGCCCAAAGAATTCCTTCCTTTTTAAGCTATTATTTTAAATTAGCGGTTTGCTTCTGTGTGTTTCCAGCATAATTCGATTATTTTAATTATATAATCAGGATTTTAAAGCATAGTTAAAAGAAACTTTAAATTACAATATTGGAAAAGAATAATAATCGTGGAAATGATTGGGTATTAATACTTAAGCAACGCGCTGGATCAAAAGTTTGCTTTCAGTCTGCAAACTGTTTTCTATTAGTTGAGAGCGTAAACGATTGATATGCGCTATGATTGAGATGAATTAGTAATAGGAATTAAACGCATTCTGAGGAATCAATTTATGCATATCGTATCGAAAAGTAAGTAGTTTTTTTAAGCAAAAATACTTGGTTCTGCCTGTATATTTTAGGAAAATAAACGCGCATTACTACGTACAGTACCTTCTCAACGTTTCGCGGATGTTCTAGAATTTGTCTGAAGACCCCAGTTTGAGAAACGCTGCACTAAATGATGATATATTCATTGTAATAATTAAGAATATATATAAAAATTACGATCATTTTGATAAAATTAATTTAATACTTCGTAAATGTTAATTTTAAGTTCTCTTCCTTCTGTACAGATGTGTCCGAACTTTTCTTCTAGTGGCCCAATATTTTTCTTTTTTTAAATGATGTGTCTGTTTAAGAATACAGAAGTCATCGCTTTAACGTAAACCTGATGCGATTTAAGTCACAGCAATAACATCTTAAAATAAATACGATGTTTTTAACTTGACTAAACGTATAGGAATTAGTTATGACCTACTTTCAGTCATTTTTACGAGATTTTTTAATATATAATGAATTTAGTGTTTCAAAATTGTCATTTCTACAATAATTTCAGGAAATAACTTTGTGTACGAAGTAAAATATAACAAATCAAAATGCAAAAATATATTTGGTCATTACTACTATTATATTGTTCAAAAATATCTGCATAGATAATTTAAAATTTAGAGCATTTACATTTTTATCGGGCTTAGTAAACTAAGTATTCAGATTCAATTATTTTTACAATTAAATTCCACTTTACATAAATCTTGAAGTTTATTTCAAAAACAACTTTACAAATATAAATACTATTTTTTAAAAATAATAACCAATTTATATGAATCTTTTAAATTTAAATTATTTGTTTTGATCTAAGAACAATGTTGAAATGTATTAATTATCGATCATCTATGAATTCCTAGATTATAACATTTATCAATTCGATTAATTAGAAAATGATCGAAATTTGAATTTTTATTAATTTTTCCACAATTAAATTTAAAATCTTTGTCATTATATTTAATATATATTATTTTTGTTATCGTACAACAAAACAATTTTTTTTTTATATAACAGACAGATTAAATTTAGATTAGGTAAATATCTTTTATTAAATTGTTACATAATCTGTATTAAATTATAAAATGTTCAAAATTTCATCTAAAATCAGTTTATTAGCGAGGTTGTGGCCGAAGTTTTAAACGCGAAAACGTTTCCTGTAAGCCTAGAAGTTTCACAATGGTCGAGCATGATTCCACTATCCAAACACAATTGTCAAACTTCTAGTCTTACAGGAAAGCGGCGCCGAACATCGACGTACACGTTTTAGGGTTTAAAACTTCGGCCTGAACCTCTCTGTTATCAAGGTAAATAAAGTTTTTTCTTAATCAGAAAGTTATATAAGTTTTATAAGATCATGAATATTTTTATGGTCGTAGTAATTTAGCTGAATAGCTTTCTGAAATTTATTACAATCCATCTTCTTTCTGTTCATTTCCCATAAAGATCACGAAAGTCCAGATCAGAGTCAAGTTCGGTTTCCTTGTATCAGAAATAAAACATTTTTCAACGGATCGTGTCTCCAATTTTTAAAGGACTTTTGATTTTATTGCATTAAGATTTGCATGTGAAATTCTTTTAGGACCACAAAGTCTCTCGCGTGATAATAGATGTTCACGAATGAATTCTTAATTCACAACGCAGTCTAGAAGGATCTCATCAAAATATATTAAATCAAACACTTTTGAAAATATTTTATATTTGAATCAGTATAGTCAACTTACACTGTGTTTAATAAGCGAATTTTATATGCTTTGTTTCATTTGAAAGTTTATAATGGTTCTTGTTTTCTTGCTTTTCTGAAAAAAGTTACTTATAATTTTATGATTTAGGTGTCTATTTTTATATTTTTTAGTGCTTCAACTAAAGTGATAAAATTATTCGTTTATTGATCAGATTTTCTTTTTTTTTTTTAAATCTTTCCTATATTTACAAAATTTAGTTCGAGAATCAAATAAGTGTTAACAGATCCTTTAACAAAATAACTGAATACGGCAAGCCTTTGATTTAACGGGCGAAAAATTTGTTCTAAAAGAAATATTTGAAAATTTTTAATCTCAAAATTAAAGCGCTCTAAAAGGTTGAGTGGGTCAACGAATATAAATTACTCAATGTGCTATATACTACCATAATAATTTATTCATACTTATTCATTATAATGTCATTTTAATACATCCTGTACATTGTAAGTCTGTTATTGATACACGTTTTTAAAATACACCCAGTTTAAAGGACCTTCAAATAGGGCGGATCTAACGGCAATAGTGGACATCCTTTCCCCAATTATAGTTCGTTAAATCGGGGAACCTATTATACTTCATCTTCCATTAAATCATCTTAATTCAATCCGTGCAATTCGTTTTTAACGATTAAGATTTTAACAAATACTGTATTTTGTTTTCTTAAAAAATTTCAAAAATACTGTTGAAATAGCACACTTTCGTTTTGCATATTGTAAACATGCATTATAAATTTGAAATTTAATAATTTTTTTTAATATCACGGAAATAAAATCTAAGCCAAAGTACTCTGAATTGCGTTGGAAAACATTGCCTTAATGACTTTCAAAGTGGTTTCTATGGACCCCTGGGGTCCTTGAAACCGCTGATGGGGCATGTGGCAAATTAAAATTAATTTGGAAGTTTGTGGACAACGTCAGGGGGTCCGCAAAAGTAAAATGATCATGACCCATTTTCATTATAATGAAAGTTAAAAATAGTGGTAAATAAATTGGTAGTCATTGTTCAACTATACCATATCTATCATAAAGCAATGTTTCTTAACGGGGGCCGCGGCCTCCTGAGGGTCCATAAGAAATTTNCTAGAATATCATTTCCATTTTTTAGTCTGTGAATGGCCACTTGACTGTCAGAGAAAATTCTTATGTTTTTGTTTCTAATCTTGGTACTGTTGATACATTTCAGGGCTTGAAAGATTGCGTACTGCTCCGCTTGCGTAATAGTACATATACCAAGCTTAAAGCTTGCTTTAAAATTAGTGATATTCTGGTGGTCCATAATAGCAAAAGCCGCTCCTGTCCGGCAGTCACTTTTGGAGCCGTCGGTGTACACATTTAAATTCGAGGTTATACTGTCGTTGAAGTCTATCAGTGAAATGTCACCTGCCGTATTAGGGTGAACATCAAGAAATTTGACTTTACTACTCATGGTCGTAACAAAGTGTTTTAAGTTGTACTCATTTAGGTTAGGAAATAGCCCGATTTGTAAATATTTATATAAATCGCTGTCTGGATTATCTATGGTGCCCCCGTTGTTAAGGTTCCACTTCCACATCTCCTCTTTTGCTCTTATATAAAGTGGTAGAACCCCGGAGATGACCTGCAATGCTGCTGTAGGTGCAGTTCTATAGGATCTACACATTCTAATGAGGGAAAATCTTTGAGCCTTATTAAGCTTCTTCCTTGCTCTAACGTTATCCACTGCTTCCGCCCAAAATGGAGCTCCATATAGAATAATCGTCTCTATACATGCCTTGTATATAATTTTTACACTCCCATATTGACTATTTTCCCGAAAACTTGGGAGTCTACAGTGAAGAACAGGGTGAAAGATTTCACCAGGATGTCCGTGATATCGAGAGAGATGTTACCAAGGAAAATGGGATGTCAACATGTTAGCTGACTACTGTTGGATGCTCAATCGAGAAACAAGAGAAGGAAATCAGAAACAAGTTCGGAGAAGCATCAAAGAGAAGAAGAAAAGGTGTCATAAGAAAAAAAGAGTAGACCTAAAATTGTATATAAGTATCAGAAACAATTTTTTGATTAGTTGTAAGAAAATATAATATGGTTCATTATAGTTCACTGTAATAAATAAAGAGTTTTTATCAAAAATTTGTTTTTATTTTGCAAAAAAACCTATACGTGATGGGATGTTATGAAAGTCATTTTTAGAATCTATGATCTTTAAAACATATAATTCAGCAAAAATATCCCATGCAGCTGAAAAAAAATTTTTTGCAGACCTGTGGAATCATTTATCTATTTATTAATGTGGTTTTTGAGACTGTTAATCAGCATTCAATTCAAATACTTTAAGTTCCCCGATGAACAAATTTTTTATGAAGAGAAATAAAAATGTTTTATTACACGGGTAATTTATTCTTCATTTAAAATCGATGTAACAACGTTCAAATGATTTTTACCTGTGTATGTTTGGTAAAAAATTGCTTTCATTCAAAAAATTTTTAAAATTTTCCTTTTTTATATCTATCATACACATACAGTTCTTGTTTTACAAGATAAATTATTAAGTTTTGTGAGAAAGGTACGAAATCTTTAATCTTATTACAATCCCTGCGATTACCATTACAGATTAAAAAGATTTATCACCAGAAAAATTGAAAAACAAACTAATTAATACTCCGTATAAAATTTAAATAAACAACAAAATCGTTGAACAAGTAGAAATTGACCCGAAACAACCTGTTCAGAAGTAAGCATTTACATGCTGTAATCAGGATACGTTCGTACTGTACAATCCAAAGAATATTAACAATAGCAAATTATATTATTCTCAGTTAATCGCAATTCGATAAGTTTTAAATTCTTACTTATTAAAATAATTTAAACCGTATATATGTTACCGCTAAAGCTCGAAATCCGTTAATGTGTACATTACCTAGCTAATCTGCAGATTAACTAGGGTGATCCGTTAAAGCTGCGAAAATTATTCCATTTCTCAAATTACCTAGGTAATCTGCGAATTACCTACTAGGCACTCGGTAAAGTGAAAATAAGATCTTTGCTGGAACAACAGCAACGTTTCTTTCTGTACGCTTAAATTAACATAATGTTATTTATTTAATTTTCAATATCTAAAGAATAAAGTTAATACAATCAAACAATCAACAAATTAGTTGATTGAATCAATCATCAATCAATTAAAAAAACTTTAATACAAAAATCAAACGGTTTAAAATATTA